GAATAATAGCCCATGGACTAGTCTCTTTCAGGAAGACATGAGTGTCTTTGGTGAAGAGAATTAGTTTACTATTACCTAGTTATTAGGGATTTAGATATTAGCAAGTGTTGGTCAAGTAAAAGTGAATTTAAGACTAGACAATTTCTTAATCAAGATTTTTCGTAGAGCCTGCATTTGAACTTCTGATTTATGTTTGGTTATTTAAATGATAGTTTCTTTTTTGTTTCGCATTTAGCAGCAGATAAGTCTTGAAAAAGAGCTGGATAAAGGTTTTGTGATGCAGAAATCTAGAACATATTCCATTAGAAGACTCCAGTTTTTAGTGCTTTATTTGTGATTTTAAAATTATGTTGAAAGTTGGGAGAGCTGTGAAGACTTGTACTGAAAATGAGCAACGATTTGCCGTTGGGAACATCTTAAAAAAATAATAATTTATTATTAATCAAAGCAGTCTTTCTAACTGATTCTTTAAAAACTACTGTTACTTTTCATGCTTGCATGGGTTAGCATAGTAGAGCTGTAATTATGTAAAGCTTTTCCTCTGCCCTCTCTCTCTCCCTGTCCTCTCCTCTGGTAAAAAAAGTTTATTTTGTGGTTATTGAGTTCTAGGTAAGCAATACCTGCTTATCTGGTAAACTAAGAAAAACGGTGTGCTGATGGAAAATAATTCAATCTAATGTCATCTGCTCCAACATTAACATACTTAAAAAAAAATTAAAACTAAGAACTAAATCTTCAAATGGTGTTGTTATACCTGTGGCAGTGTAAGATATATAGGCCAAACTGATATAATTGGAATGATGTGACCTAAAGAACAAGTTATTTTTTCAGCTATCTAATAAAAAGTATTATTTCTACCAAGTGTGTCATATTTACTATACAGGAAAATTCTTGATCTAAAGGTAGACTGCATTCTTTAAATCTTAAAAAAATTTAAAGGAGATGTTTTTTGCCGTCATAGCAATGCTGGTTTAGAGTAAGGTGGTGATTGCTACCTGACATCTTGGTTGTGGGGTTTCTTTGAGCTGAACATCTTGCAGGTGTTCTTTAGAACATAAGCTGGCTTTCTGGGGCATATCCATTCTAGGTGCCATATGAACTGTAAACTGGAAAAGAATTTCTAGATTTCATATTTTTACCAAATAACTTCTTTAAATTATGAGCTTATTATCTGTGAATATAGATAAGAGCTGATCGTAGACTTCTGGCTTAAGTTTCAAATTGATTAAATATGTAGTTTTGTTTGGAATGCTCTTTGTCTGCACACCACGTATGTTCTCATCTGGATAAGAAAGAGATTAATCTACAACTGTAGCTGGCGCTATTGCAGTGGAGCTAGTTTTCAGCTATTTTTGTGAAAATTAAGGTTTTTTTCAGCTCTGAAGCCTGTGTTGCAGTAAAGCAGGGTTGTTGCCTCCTGAGGAGTTCGTTCCTGTTCTTCAGGAGCACAGTGTTTTCTGCAATTCCCACTAGAGGCTGCTCAAATGCCAGTGCTAGGAATCAATTGCTCTCTAGAACTCACTTCATCCTTTTTATTTTCCTTTTCTTTGTTGTTGTCTCTTAATATTATTTCAATAGCAAATACAGCAAAGCAGATAGGGTGGGGTATGTGAAAAAACAGGGGTTGATAGGTACCTTACTAAATTATCTTCAGTCCTGCTGTGTTTGTTAATTTTGCAAATTAATAAGCAAGCAATCATTCTGAAAAGCAAGTTAGCATAATACAGATGTTTGGATTTTAATGCTCTCAGAAAAGTCCTTAAGCAAAAAGGGGCTACCAATCATAATTGCAATAAATGATATTACCCTTTGAATACATCTGAATTACATCTGAATTTTGTGAGAGAAAGTTGAGTATGTGGTAAACAACGAATTTCCTCATCACTGATGAGGAAATATGAGTTCATATATAGAACTGAAAACATTTTTTTTCTTCAGACTTTTTCCTTCATCAATTGTCAGCTGCCTTTTTTTTTCTTTTTTTTTTTTTTTTTTTTTTTTTTTTTGCCATCTCCCTCTCCCCTCAGAAATCTGCAGATAAATAATTTAAGGAAATATTAGCTGATTATATGATCCATGTTTCCCTTTCTGACTGTTGTGGAGCCTACTTGTTCGGGACTAAAAAAATCGTCTTAAGTAATTGAAGCTGAA